GATATTGCATTTAGTTTTATATATTTAAAATTTTTTTACTATCAATTATTAATAGATTACAATAAAGATTTTCAATCTTTCAACTTTATATTTTAAAATACTAACGATAATCAAAAAAATGCAGAAAAAACAAGTACCATTAACTTGAAGTATTTTGTCAACTTTTTTATATATATATATATATTTTCGTTGGTTGTTTCATTTCATTTGTTGTGTAATTTTTTGTTATTGTTGTTTTAGTTATGAATATTATAAAAATAAGAAAAATATGTTTTTGAGTTGCCACAAAACAATGTGTTTTTGAGTTGCCGCAAAAAAAGAGAGATTGGAAAGGAAAAAAGAGGCTGAAAAGAAAAGATGATCCAAGATTCGAACTAAAATAATAATGAATAAAAAAAAGATACAAATGTTACTGTATATTGATAAAAGTTAATATTTAATAATTAATGAAAAAAATTAGATATATATATTTTTTAACTTAAGTATGAAAAATTTTCTTTTAGTTAACAAATCTAATTCCAGTATATCAATTCTGTATCACATTGAATTTATACAGCAATAATAAAAAATCGCTTTAAGATTTAAAAAAAACTGGTGTAAAACCGGTTACCTGGTTTTTCAATTTAAAAAAAAAACGAAAACCAGTTTTTTTAAATCTAAACTAAGGTTCAACGCAAACATTCAAGTTCTACTATCAAAGATTTAAACTGGCGATCATAATCAATATCTGCCATTTGCTTGTTTGTTTTGCTGATACTAACTTTTTTAAAGTAACTTTTAAGTATTCCAGGAAGTAAAAAGTACTTTCATTGCTTGAAGAACTTTTTGGAAGGAGTACGATCTATAAGTAACCTTTATTATTCCGGTAAGACAAGCAAATTGTCAACTTTTTTGACAAAATTTATGTTATTATTCTCAAAGCAGTTGGTTATGGTATTGGCAAATGCGATGAAAACACAAAATTATTATCGGCATGGTGAGTCTTGATGAACGGCCTTAATCTTCTTTTAATACAATCCATTTCCTAGAAAGATTTATTGAGGCCGCTGGAGAAAAAAATGTTTTGAAAATACCTTTGTCAGAAATGGCCAGTCAGACAAACACCTCGGATTTGAAATTGCGCTTTTTGCAATTTTAAAGCTCGGTGAAGTTTCGTCTCTGTCGCTAGAGTAGTATGTGTTATTTTCGTTAATTGTTGAGTGCGACAGCGTGAAGTAAGGCTCGTCGTCAAGGATGGCCAATTTTACTTGAAAATTGCTATAAAGACGGTCAAAGCCAGTCTTGATTCTCTGGCTCTCTTGTCAATCAGGTTTACCCTGTTTCGTATAAGTTTTAATGTTAGTGTACTTGGCAAGAGTTTTAATAATATGTGAATGACTCCAAATTTTCGACCGGCTTGTCTCACCAAAATTCGGTCACTGTAGTCAAATATGGTTCTTAAACACTTGATCACCTTGGCGGTCATGATTTTGGTCACACGACCACTTCCTTCCACTTTTTTGTGTCCAGAACCATTTTCAGCACGTTTGATTATATTATAGATAGTGCTTCTTGGAATTTGTTGAGCAATAAAGTGATTTACTGTGAACTTTTTACCTTGCAATTTATTATTCGAATAGAATTTATTTTCTTTTCTCTTCTTACTTAGACATCATTATTTTCTTAATTGTTATTAGTTATTTAAAAACAAGTAAACTTATATATTATATATAACTTATATATAGTTTACTTATAGAGAATTAATATAAGCTGTTATTAATAAAGTTATGTTAATAAGAATTAATAAGAATTAATTAAAATAGATATAAGATTAAAAAATATATAATTTTTTTTTTAATTTCGTTTACATTAAAATGTCACAGTACAATTATATGCCGTATATATGGTGTTACAATTAAAAAAATACCAATACCAGTATATTTAAAATAAGAAAAACACTCACATGTGTAAATATAAGCATATATACACTTACAGATGTATAGATGCGCACATATATAAATTGCTAATAATTAAACATAAGCTAGGATCTGAAAAGAAGATCACAAGATCTTATCGTCAGAACCTTAAAAAATACAAGCAAGCAAAATAAAGACAAGTATAACATACAAAAAAAAAAAAAAAAGTAAAATAAAAAAAAAAAAGTTAATAAAACCCAAGTCAAATAACAATTTTCAAAATATTAGATTTATCTAAGTATACTATCAAGTGAAAAAATACATTTTTAAAGATAGAGCTTGAAAAGATAAAAGGAATATGGTTGATCGATATTTCGCAGAACAATATTATTCAATAGGTGGGGTCCACGATAAGCAATACAAAATTGATTAAATTTTGTGTGACAAAACAGCTCGTTTTAAAAATTCATGTTTCTCACATCGTATTTGTTGTTAGGTTTGAGTTTAAAAATATTATTAAAAGCGGTAGGGGATTAATTATTTCTCCATAAATATATCAAACATAAAACTTTAAATACATTGAGTTCAAATAAATTTAATAATCTCATTTCAGTAAAAATAGGTTTTGTATCTGTAAAACGATCAGCATAGATAATTATGCGGATTGCATGTTTTTGACGACGATAAAGAAGTTTTAATTTACTTTTAGCATTACTTTCCCAAGCAGTGTTAGAATAATTCATGTAACTGTGGATAAATAAGTTTTTTTATGATAAGTATTTTTATTAAGTTAGTGTGCTTACATGACACTTATAAGGTTGGAACCTTTATTCAAATCATTTATATATATCGGGAAATGTAGGGGTCCGAGGATTAAACCTTGAGGAACACCGCATACGGTATCAAGATAATTATTTTGATAACCATCGTTACTAATTAGAAATTGTTTTCTTTTTGTTAAGTAGCTTCTAAACCATTTTAAATCAGTACCTTTAATATTTAAGTTTTTGCAGTAAAATATAATGATCTACAGGGTCGAAAGCTTTTTGATAGGTCAATGAAGATACCTAACAGGTACTGTGATTTTTCAAAAGATTTCGAGGTTTCATGCACAAACTGGATTCTGCATGCTCCGTTGAGTTACCTTTTTTAAAGCCGAATTATTTGTTATATAGTAAATTATTTTTGTTGAGATATTTGCTGTTAAAAGTTTACTACAAATAAAACATAGTTGCGACATTTTAATAAAAGTATTAAACGGTTACAATCGTAATAAAAAATACTACTTGATACTATTCACTGCAATAAAACAGGCAATAAAAAATTGAGATTAGACATTATTCTTTATAAAATTTTTGAAAATATTAAAAGAACAGAGATGGGACGATAGTTGCTAATATATTAGACCTGTCACCTGTCACGTATAAGACCTGTCACCCTCTTTAAAGAATAGGAGTAATTTTAGCAACTTTTAATTGTTCTGGAAATATTTCTTGGTTAATAGAAAAAAATCTTTAAAAAGAACATGTTTTAATATATTGAAACAGTCTGTAATTACATTTCCATTAATTTCATCTGCTCCTGTTGCTTTTGGCTTTTAAAGTCAGTTAAAGTTAGTCCGGATTTTTAGTAACCACCCATTATTCTGTGAAATTTAAAATCTGCTAATGTTGTTAAATTTAGTATGAATTTGTAAAAAAAAATTAAATTATAAACTCATTGCCCTCACTTACAGGGTAAGAGGGCTTTTTTTGGGGGGTATTTTTGATTCCAGACTTGAATCATCAAGATTTTTAGCAGAACGGTAATGTTTGCTGGAATTCAATGGTTACCAGGGCGACACTATAAGCGATACATAAATGTATTTTTGAAATGTAAGTTTGAAGTTTGCACTACATCTGAGTTTGCTCTACTAGTGTCAAATCTGCAACACCAAAAAACAAAAATTGCCTCATTGGACAGCGCGTCGTTCAAAGTCAAACTCAATTTTGATGTCAGAAATGGATTCCCTGACCGCATAAAACTTATTATTTGATATATATGATTATATTTCGATGTTTTCTATATTTTTTTTGCTAATTTTTTTATAATTCTGGTCGAATTAGGAGCATCGATCCGCAAAATTTATTAAACGAACCACATGTTTCTGACGACGATAAAGGCGTTGTAAATTACTTTTTTTAGGGCTTCCCCACACAATATTAGCATAATTTAATTATGCTTTAAAAAACGAGGAATTTAAAGCTAACGGAAAAACAATAAAAAATTAGAAAACAAGCAGCAGAAAATGAAAATAAACAACAAAAAAAGCGTTAAAAAGAATTTGAAAAAAAAAAAGGGTCTAATTCATATAAAAACTTCAATTTGATTTTTTTAATTTAGTAATCGTATTAAATTTATCGACTATTTTTTTATTTTGCTATTCAGGTGCTCTAAAATGTTTTAACGGTCTTATAGCAAGAACCTTCAATACTGTTTACGTCTCCTTCCTTATCAATGTTGCATATATGACCATAGCCGACTTGGAATCACGGACTTTCAGTTCTGAAACCGGAACTCTAACCACTACACTACGGTTGCTTTACATTATTAAGTAAAATTGAAATATACAACTTTTTCATTCGCGGTATATGATGTTTAGTTTTAATCTTCCGATCAAACTTATAAATAAAAATAATAAACATACAGAAAAAAAAACAACAAAAATTTTAAAATAATTTTTACTGTAAATTTCTTGTTTCTTCAATCAAGTCATCGTTTTAACGTACAATAAAATTGCGTTCCGTAATATACAGACAACCGATATTCATTAATTTAGTTTTACAGTAAGTAATTACTAGATTTACTGTAAGTAATTTACTCTTTTAACTCCTTATTTATCTAGTAAATCAATTTAAAATTACCGGAAAACCGATAGTCATTAATTTACACACAAACACACACACATACACAATAATGTGTTTTATTAATGTACACAAACACACACACACTCGCAGACACTCATTTCCTAATAAAATCCATAATAATTTACAAATAAGGTGATAAGGTGTTTTTATAATTAAAATTAACGCACTCGTAGGTTTATCATAAAGAAAAATCCTTCTCTTTTCTAACAGCGTTGAATAAGATTCATACACTTTTTTTTTCGTAGCAACTATGTTACATGTTTGTATTTACTATGCTAAAAATTAATAAAAAAATCCTAAAGAAGTTTCAATTTCAAACTTTGAAATTTTGCAATTTCTTGATAAAACAGGATCATTTTTATTTCTACTGACGTAAGAAAACTCCAATCTACCCATGATAGCATCTGATACTGTCGTCAATTTATTCATGATGACTTCCAAAGAGCTACAACATTAGTATCTGACACTGCTGCCACATAATTCGGCGGGTTAGAGATAGCTACATGATTAAATATTTTGGTGTGATTGTGACTGCATACAAGTCTCTGAAAAAAAAATATATATATATTTTTATTAACTTTTATTAACTTTCTTGCTACAGGGTTAGGGTTAAAGCTACAACGATTCAATTTTTTGAAATATTTTTTACATTTTTAGAAAGCTTTATACAATATTCATTCAGAAACCTTTGTTATGGTGAAAGCTACATTATTTTAACAATACCAAATAATTTTAATTAGAGGCACATTATATTTTAATTAGGGGGCGCATTATATTTTATTCTTTATATACCTATTTTTATACATCACACAACAAAATCGAAGTTTTTTTCAGCAATACGCGCCCTTGATACAAGATTAGTGTTTTAAATATTGTTTACCAGTGATGTTTTTATAATGTTTTTAGGAAAGGGGTAGTTAATCCACAAACTGATTGGCTAATATTAATTTTAAATTTTATAGCTTAAGTTTTTTTGTACTTCATGCACCAAAAATACAAACAAACTTAAGTACAAACAAACTTAAGTACAAACAAACTTAAGTAAACAAAAATAAGTACAAAAAGAACAAGCAAAAGGTAAAACAACAAAAAGCACAAGCAAAAGGTAAAACAACAAAAAACACAAGCAAAAGGTAAAACAACAAAAAGCACAAGCAAAAGGTAAAACAACAAAAAGCACAAGCAAAAGGTAAAACAACAAAAAGCACAAGCAAAAGGTAAAACAGCAAAAAGCACAAACAAACAAAAAGTAAAAACAAGAATTAAAATAACGATAATCGTTTCTCTTTTAGTTAAGGTCCAAAAAAAGTTCAAAATAAAAATGAACTTATTACCTGGCTTTATAACCTAGGTGTCCTGAGGTTTTTGAATATATAACCCCTTGGTGGTAAAAAATAAACTGAACCAAAAATCTTTTTTTGGTGAACTTTGTATCACACCATGAAGTGAAAAAAAAAGAACTTAGTTACCAAGTTTAGAGAAAATATTTTGTTATAAAAATGTCTATAAATATTTTAAACATAACTATCTGGCAGAAAATTTTAGTTTTTACCTATATTAATAACTTAAAAAATTTATAAATAAATGATTTTTGGCAACCTTTAATTTAGTTGTAGGTAATTTCCTCTTTTAACTCTTAATTTATAAATCAATTTAAAATTACAAAAGTTAAAATTCATTTCATAGATCGCTAAAATAACCAGTTAAATTAACTGTTTAATTTATCATTTTAATTTCAATTACTTTATAATTGACATTAAAAACAAGTATTAAATATTAAAATGTAATTTTGAAAAAAACTATTAAATATTAAAACCTTATATTGAACAGAAGTAATAAAAGATTTTCAAAAGAAATATTAAACATAGTAAATAAATGTTAGATATAGTAAAGAAAATACTGAAAAGTAGTAAATATATATTGAAAGGTAGTAAGTAATTATTAAAACTTAAATTTTTCCCTTACATTGACCATTAAAATCTTTCAAGGCCATATATATATATATATATATATATATATATATATATATATATATATATATATATATATATATATATATATATATATATATATATATATATATATATATATAGACACACACAAACATATATATATATATATATATATATATATATATATATATATATATATATATATATATATATATATATATATATATATATATATATATATATATATATATATATATATATATATATATATATATATACACACACACATATATATATATATATATATATATATATTATATATATATATATATATATATATATATATATTCTGATTTTGTTTTAGTTTTGAGATGTTTTTTTGTTAATAAAAAGTAAAATTTATAAAATAAAGGAGGAAGGGGGGTGGGTGGTTTTAATAAGCTTGGTGAAATAATAACACCTCTTAATATCCAAGGTTTTATCAATCATATGAAAATTATACAATAGAAACGTTTAATACTATTTAATTGTAATTCCCTAAGGGAAATGTGCATATAAAGTAGTAACTATATATAAATTATAAAACAACAATATATTAGTAATTATTTATGACATTCTTCCAATCATTGAAATTGTTCACCATCAAAACCGTATCTTTGGGGCGCTTTTTGGATTCGCTGCGATTGTTTTGGAAGGTGGTCAGTAGGCATAAGACTTTTAAACTTTTTGAATAAAAATTGATTTCCTGGGGTTTCAGTAGATGAACTTTATATGTAGATTGGATTTATTATTCCTTTAGTAAAAAATTATGAAAAAAGGTGGCGCACCCATAAGCATCTTTTGATGACATCACTATTCAATATAAAACTTTAAACAAATGGCGTTATATAATTATATTGCGCTAAATGTAGGCAATGTTTTATATCTTAAATCTTAGCTTCTTATTGCTAATTAAAGCTAAATATAGTTTTAACAATCTGCATTTAACCAATAGGCTTACACTTTCAAAATTTCATATTAAAAGTAGAGTTTCTAGTAGATTGGCTTTATAAGCTTCAATTTTTCTTATCTGCTTTTGACTAACTGCTTTGTTGTTTTATTGTAGAAGCTATTCTGACAGAAAAAGTTTAGATTTCATTTAGTTCATCAAAGACATGTCTAAACTATCACGTAACCTAGTTAATAAAAGCTCAAATGCATGGCAGCAGAATGTAAAAAGCAAAGTTGTCAAGCGTTCAGAAATACCTTTGCAAGTTACTGAATTAAATGAACTCTGCAAAATGCCTCTTAACAGGGATATTGTTGGGCGTTTTTTGGGATTACATGATAAAATGAAGGAGAAGAAAATAAGAACAGAAACTACTGGAAAGGAACTGAATTTACTTTGGGATAAATTAATTTTTCTGTCGTATCAATGTCCACCCAAAAATTGCAAATCTAATTGATGCATATGTGAGATACAGAAACAAAAAGGGTAAGAGATTTCTGGAGGAATTAGCAAGCCTTTTTGATATAACCAAAACTGATGGAAATTGGTTGCCCTCTGAAGACAAACAACTTTACCTACAGCAGATTGAATCTCATGGTACTGTTGGATACACAACTGCGAAGCTTGCACCAGTCTCAACAATTCATCCGTCTAAACGCCGAAAAGTTATACAATCTTCAGTTGAGAAACAAGTCATGGTAACTTCAGATGAATCTGTGCAAGAAACTGATGCTGAAATATCACCTGGTGATGATTTTATACCTGAAGTGGAAATAAAGAGGAAAAAATATCAAAAAACCAAGGTTGCTGCAAATCTGGTTACCAAATATTCTTTATCTACAAGAAAATTATCTAGAGTCTGTTCTAGTCTAGTTGCTGAATGTTCTGCTAAGTTACCCCACCATCACAAACTGGAATATGGAAAAGTGTGGTCAGAGATGGAATTAGAAAGGCTGCTGAAATAAAATGCATTCTTCAGCAGAAAAATGATTTCTGTTTGCATTTTAATGGAAAGAAACTGTCATCTAAAGAATATGAAGTCCTTCAAGGAAATTGAATTTAGGTATCATCATATGTGAATCTGGTTCGGCTGCAAACAGTTTCTGGATTGAAGAAGCTCTTAGATGACTTTGATACATGGAAGAGTATTAAAATGATTGTGTGCAATACAACAGCACTCAATACTGGTAGCAAAAATGGAATAATCGCTCGGCTTTATTAAGAATTTGAAAGAAAATGTATTATTAGACCAGAGTGCATTGGGTGTCAACACCACATCCTTGACTTGGTTCTTTGACATTTACTTGACTTCTGTGCTCCAACAGTCTCATAGAAACCAGATATAAACTATGAGTTTGTTGATAACATTTGCAGTCAGTATGAGAACAGACGAAATATACAGGTGAAGTTGAAGTGCCTGCTTCTGAAAATGCTGGATGGAGGAGTGATTTCAAGTTTCTATTCAAACTTTGCGAGGCTTACAAAGTGTACAAGAAATGCGCTAAATTTCCAAAAATCAAGTGGTAAAAACTTCCTTCACTTCATAATGCAAGATGGAACTCTAGAGCAACATATGCTCTACTAGCTTATTTTCTTCTGGAAGAACATGGTCAGCAGCTGAGCAGTATCTGCAACATTATATCAACTGTATGGGCATCAGCGTGTTCTATAATAAGCATTTCACTGAACACAGTTTTGAATTATTGCATTCTGCTGTTTCAGAATTTGATTGTCAGAAAGCAACAAAATGTTTCCAAACGCATTGGGTAAAACTGCCTTCAGTCATTGACATTCCACGATCAAACATTGTGGCCAAAAGAGCATTCAAAATAATGGAAGACATTTACACTACCTGCAAAAGTGACAAGTACCTTAATGTTAAATTCTTAAACTCAAATTTACAATTGTGAACACTCAACAGTGACTAAAGTAAGCATATATTCATATGGACGTTTAAAATTTCTGTTTTACAATACATAACTTGTGTGAATTAAGCATTGTAGCTATTTCTTTAAGGGTGTGCCAGGTTTTTTAAAAGTTAAACAAAAATTAAGTCATATTTACTATATTTAGAAAGTTCATCATTTGCCACCCCAGAAATCTTGATTGAAAAAAAGTCATATACCTAGTGGTCAGGTTGCATATGTGATTGCATTACAATATCCGATTCTGGACCAAGTGAGGTCTCTTTGTGTGTAACTGAAGACTTGTCAAGCTGCCAAGTATACTCTGAGTGATCAGTACTATTTGTATTAGCAATCTCACTATCTCCTATATGGGCTTTATATTTTATTGATACTGTAGATTCCCTTCCACCGGGAAATTTGATGCGCGCATATTGAGGTTCGGCTTCTATTAGTTTAACTTCTTCAACTACAGGATCGTATTTGCTAGATTGAAGATGCTTCTTCACAAACACTTTCCCCTGTTCGAGCAGCCAGGTTGAGAAAGATTCTCTGTTTGAAGATCTCCGTGGAAAATTGAAGAACATTTCATGTGGCGTTGCATTTGTTGCAGTGCACAATAATAATCGTATTGAGTGTAATGCATTATGTAGCACTATTTCTCAGTTTTCGACTGGTAGATTTCTTGATTTGAGAGCTAG